CAGACGTGTTTATGTTTAGCCTGAAGGACCTGCAGTCCAGTTTTCGCTGCTTTATTTTGTTTCCCATAGGGTTTATAATTGATTTCTGGTTGGGGGGGAGCTCTGGGTCCTACGGCCCGTGATGTGGCTGGCTCGGGTTCCCTCCTTCTGTTTGTTCCTGTTGGCCAGTCCTCCAGACCTCTTTTTGTTTCCCGTTTCGCTTGTGTGAGCAAGCGGCTGATTATCAATAAATGCTCGTTATCAAGTACAGGTTATTGCGTGTATTCTTTCATGTTGCGGGTCTCAGCACGAGCCACTACCGCGGAGTAGAGATTGGGGCCGTAAAAACATGTCCAAGACAGTGTGAAATGTACTTTGCACTTCAATGGAATAATACAAAGTTAAAATGGGCCTTTTTCTTTGTTTTTCTTTGTTGATTGAGCTGATTGAATTGTGTAGTTATGGTAAAATCCCAGTTAACTAGTCAGATTTAAAATATATTATCGTATTATTTACATTTTTATATTTACAGTAAATTACTGGCTACTGTGTTGCATTACTACAGTAAAAGTGTGAAAATACAGGTAATTATTGTAATTTATGTACATCAAGGTACCATAATACCACAGCTCTGTACTGCTATAGCACAGTAATTCCATTTGCATGGCAACTGTACTGTCACAGTATTTAGTTGTACTTGTATTCTAATTTACTGTAAAATATCTACAGTAATTTACTGTAAAATATCTACAGTCAATTACTGTGAAATATTTACAGTCAATTACTGTGAGATCCATGCAACTAGTAGCCAGTAATTTACTGTAATTTTACAGCCAAACATTTTAGAGTGTGTGATTGGTTGTTGGTCGAGCTTCAGACACGCCCGCTGGCAAGCTTCAACGCACGCCGCCGTGTGTAAGCTCCGTTACATTTCATGTTATTATTTATTATGAAACAGTTTATAAAGCCAGTTTTTAATATAGAATTTCGTACAGTACAGGGCTGCCCCTGCAAAGGTGTTTAATGAGGGCCCCCTTATGTGTCACGAGCGTTGCCGATTAACCAATCACATGAATCTCCCGCCCATACTTGCCAACCTTTAGACCTCAGAAATCGGGAGGATTTCAAAACCACCGCCGGGGAGTGCTAGTGGATCGCCGGAGCTGTTAGATTAACATTAACATGCTTATTGTAGTTGTAAATGCACTGCCTTGCGGCCTGAAGCACCATCCTTGATGGAGCATATGTGTGGGCTGGACCTGTATTTTACAGGAAAGGAGTGAGCAGAGGTTCGAGTTGTCGATTCTTGTTCTGTTTTCTGTGACTATCTGCCTCACCCTCTTTAGACAGTTGCGCGCACTACTAAAGGTGCTACCATGGAAACCAAACAGTGGTGTAGCTGTATTAAAGTCCGAGTGGATACAGTCGTGAGTAAATCGGATTTTGTCAGAAATCGGGAGAAATGCGGGAGAAATATGACCCCGGGAGGAAACCGGGAGAGGGCAATAAAATCGGGAGTCTCCCGCGAAAATCGGGAGGGTTGACAAGAATGGTAATATGTGTCCTTTTCGTCCTTTCCTGAAGCTTCTACATGTAACCACTGGGTGGCAGGAGAAATCCACCTAAAGTCCACTTTAGCTCACGCTGCAACTTTCTCCTGAAATATAACATCCGGGAGATGACACACACACACACACGCAGAGACTTCAAGCTTCATTTGGTGTGATTCACTTTGATTATTCCTCCTTTTATCAATAAACTGTCGCTCGACGCTCCACAGCAACAGGAACAACATAACATCATATAAATATAATGACACATTAACAAAAGAGGCAAGCTTTGATAAGGTTCCCTAGAAGAGGAGAGCCCAAAAGACAAATACACTATTATGAGATGAAAACATATATTAGAACACTGAAGGAAACCAGAAGGAGAGAACTGTTTCATGGCAACAGATACGTTGTAAAACAAATGCAAATATAGAAATATACTACGAATTTAATGTCGAAAATAAATGATACTATGGTATGTCAAAGAAGTCATAGTATGTCGAAAAACATCTGATTGATATCTGATAGATCTGAAATATCCAATTGTATGCCATTTAAAATGTATTATGTGTGTGCAGACAGAGATATATCGTAATACCGTTTCCCGCAATCCCAAATACAAAAACAAATATAAAAATATGTATATAACTATATATATACACAATCAACAGACACATTTATACATATGCACACATTAACCCT